GTAAGGTCTCAGAAATCATGCTATTTTAACAACATATTTTATGTATTCTAAAATATTTAATTCTGCTTACATCGACTTATTCTAATTCATCAAAAATAACTAATTGTATAGAACCCCCCTAACCCAAGATCAAGATGAAAGTTAACCAGAAAGAAATGGTCACAATTGTCTTCATCTGGGAGGTATTCTGTTTGCATGCAATACTTGAGAAAAACCTAAGATTCAGACAGAAACACAAATAATTGAAGGAAAAAGTGCTCATGTGATAGGATCTTAACCATTACTGAATGGCAGAAATGACAGACCATAACCTGAACATACATCACTTGGATATAAAGTTGACAGGTATTCAGTACTTTCATGTTATATATTGCTGGTTAGCAATGAATAATGTGCTGATCATCATGTCGTCTAACCCCTATTATTAAACCCAAACATGAATATTTACTGAACCCTTTTTTCAGCACAACTTCTGAAAATTGTTGTGCACTTTTCAATCAGCTGGCCAGAACTGCCACAAAGACAAATACACAAGACATGGTTATGAGTAAAGTTTCTACATACGTGAGACACATGCATTCCAAGTGAGGCATGCAGTAGAAAAAGTGTCACAGCTGTACTGATCTATATAACGGTCACCTGAAGAACAGAACAAAGTTATTTACACCGTAAAGTCTACTTATCTAGTATAATGGGGAAAGAAGACTGAACTTTTCATTAGCAGCAGCAGCCTAATGGACTATAGATTTTATTTACTACATTAAGTTTAAAGCAAGATACCTTCCCCTCCCAAAAATACAAATGAAATAAATAAGAATATTAAGGAAAGTTGTATGACTCATCATGAACAGGGACTGCAAAATTTCACTTAGTTTAAAAATTATCAGCAATCTTTATCAACTATATTTCCAAGATAAAGTATTATGAAATCAGTATTCCGTTAAACACTGCATGATAAATATGGCAAATATGTTTGATAGTGTCAAGATACCTCGCATATATGGATCATACCCTATGTGCTGTCATGCTGTAGTCCTGGACAGTAGATGAAATTGATTTATGTCAAGAACCCAAGAAATTTGCAATGAACCAAAGAGATTCATAAATAAAATGAAATGATTCAAAGGAGATAGTGTTATGTATGTAATATACATCTGAGTTGGCAGGAAGGTTAGTTATTGTCTGAAAAACAATCATATCGTCTATAATTCAACTACGCAGTCAATTTCCTTTCATCTAATAATTATAGAACACTCAGAAAACCAAATTGCACTACCAGCTTAATACAATCTTTGTCAAGTAGCAGAGTGATAGAACATTATTGATGTTTTCCTGCCAACATTTTAAATATAAATATACAAAGTAATTTAATATTGAAATTTTCATAGGTAGCCTTATTTATTGTGTTATGTTGTGGTAACTTTTGATATGGTAGAAAAGTAGGGTTATTAATTATTAATAAAGAATGTATTAGGTAAATAATCTATTCTAAAGCACACTAGAATACATGTTACCATATAATGGTGTAGGTGAGCCTATGTAACAGAATATTGTATTATTTTCTTTTGGTATATTGTCATTATCATTTATATAGTTGTGAAATCAGGCACAGAGAACCAATTTAGTCTGATATATTAATGCACTATTAACATCAACCTTTGCTTATGTTATGTATGATATAAAATATGTGACTGTTTTCACATACCACTGGTTCTCCTGCAACACCAGGTGACCAAGCAATGGTTTTGTTGGTGACCATACAGGAGAAAGGAAAATAGAACTAATGACAAGATCACAGAGACAGATAGAAAACACTTTTAGATGCAAGGAAAAAGAAGAAAAAAAGAAAAAGAAAAGAAAAAGAAAAGGAAGAAGAAGACAAAGAAAAGGGTAATGACAACAATTTATATATAAATCTTACCTGTGGAAAGTGGAGGTGCTGATGGCTTGATTTTCGTCTCTGTATGGACTTTCTTAATTTCATCACCTTGTGTATAGTATGTGACTTGAGTCTTCACCTCATGGCTCTGGATCTCCTTTAATGAAATATTCAACAGTTACACAACAAAAGGCCAATGAAGTGAACCATAATAAGAAATCAAAATCAAAAACATCTCATACTACTCCTCTAATTATCTATGTCCATATATTTATGTATGAGTGCACATATGCGTGTACATACACACACGCACTCACACCCAGACATGTATGTATGTATATATGTAATTATATATATATACACATATACATACACACATACATATACATACATACACATATACATATATATACATACATACATACGTATAAATATATACATACATATATAAATATATACATACATACATATACATATATACATACATACACACATACATATACATATATACATACATACATATACATATATACATACATACACACATACATATACATATATACATACATACATATACATATATACATACATACATATACATATATACATACATACATATACATACATACACACATACATATACATACATACACACATACATATACATACATACATATACATATATACATACATACACACATACATATACATATATATATATATATACACATACATATACATATATACATACATACATATACACATACATATACATATATACATACATACATATACATATACATATATAAATACATACATATACATATACAAATACATACATACTATATATATAATATAATAATATATATATAATAATATATATATATATATATATACGTATATATACGTGTATATATACGTATATATGTATATATACGTATATAAATGTATATATACGTATATATACGTATATATACGTATATATGTATATATACGTATATATGTATATATACGTATATATGTATATATACGTATATATGTATATATACGTATATATGTATATATATATATGTATATGTACGTATATGTACTTATATATACCTATATATACTTATACATACACACATACATACATATACATATATACATACATACACACATACATATACATACATACATACATACGTATAAATATATACATACATATATAAATATATACACACATACATAAACATATACATGCACATATATGCATATACATTTCCATACATTTACATATACATGCATATACTTTCTATATTTATATAGACATTAAACACACAAATCAATTATGTAAGTAAGCAAAAAATACCAAGTCTCTAAATTAATCAACAAATAAAATAAGTATAGTTTACCTCACTTCTCCTGCCTGAGCGCCTCTTTCCCTTAGAGGAATCCTGGCGTTCTGGTGAAGATCTGCGTTTGAATGAGCGTCCTGATCTGAGACGTGATTCTTCTAAATCATCCTCAGTAATATCAATGTCTGATACACTAAGGATGGAACCTAAGGAGAAAATTATGAGTTACCAAAAAAAAAAAAAAAAGAAAGAAAGAAAGAAAGAAAGCAATATAGACATACTGAGAAATGAAAGAAAAGATAGTTTAAGAACTTCAGTGCAGTATAGAGAGTACATTTATAAAAAGAATTTCACTTAAACATAAGAAAGAACCTAACAACTTTCAACTTATGATTCAAACAATCCAACCTAAGCAGTACCTACCCATTGTGTCATTGTCTTCTGTGATAGTAGAGAGAGGCCCTGGGGACAAATCTCTTGTACTTCGCCGCTGATTTGTTGCTGTTCCACTAAAGGTAAACGAGTGCTGTAACTGTTGTAGTCTTTCTCTTGTCTCATTGACCTGCCCTCTTCCCAACAACTCCATGACCAAACCAATTTGTCCTGCCTAAGAAATGCAAGAGATAAATGATGCATAATCAGTTCAAGTCATTTGCATATGGGGGTCAACATTTAAATGGCAAATATGAGTACTTTGCACAGATAACTTGTTAGAAAATAATTTCCACAAAAATGAGTCAAAGAGTAGTTAGGCATAATAAAGCGGTTTCCAAGATGACAATATGACAGGCATTTTGGCAAATTTTCTGAAGTATGATTAACAGTCAGTAGAACGAGTGGGTTTGACATTTTACGCACCTCCCCCCCCAAATGGGAGTAACTCATGATTAGTATTTCTATTTCAAAATTTCTGTTTACAAAAAATATGTCAGTTACATACAATTTATATCTACATCTATAGGATGTTGGTTAGTGCATCACACGCACTCACATACGCACAGACATACACACACTCACTTTACAAGTGATAACCAGATGCTAGAAATATTCTGAAGCAGCAATACTGGCGCACTGGTGTGACCTGATTTGATTTATCATACATGAGTAAATACATACCAAATCATTTTTCTCTTTTTCTGTCGTGATTCTCTTGGCCTTTTCTACATCTAGCATGTGCTTTGCATTTTTTAATTTCATCTCCAGGCTTTTAATTTCCTTTTGGTATCTGGTTGCTTGCTCATTAAGACGACTCACTTCTGCTTCAAGTTCTCTTAACTGAACCCGATTTTTCTCTTCGTGGTCTAAAAATTCAAGGAATTCTGAAAAAAATTAGGAGAAATAATATTACGGATGTGTTCTTACATGTACTGAAGATGTGCATCTCTCACATGATTCTGGGAAATAATAGTCAACAATATATGGAAAAGCCTCATTATTTAAAAGGTACTTGATATATTAAGGCATTTATGAACTACTCAAAGGAATTAATTTCAAGGAATGAGGCTAATAAAGGAACTTGCCACAAATAAGCTACCTCTCTCACTTCCCAGCTATTCCTGACCAGTACTAATTAATGCTCATTAGTGAGAAAGAGAAAGAGAGAATTAGATGGATTCATTTTACTCAAAAGTAAAAACAAAAATTGCTTATTGACAGACTGTTCACCAACATGTTTATCTACCTGGGTTCACTTGTATGGCATTCTAAAATTCATATAGGACTATGCTGATAATGATATAGAGAATATTATTAAAGCTCAGCCTATAACACGAAGGAAAAGAATGGTTTTGATGAAATATAAACAAACAGCACTGGCAATATATACATACTGTACTCAGCTGGATCTGCCAGAACCTGCATCTGGCGCATCAGGTCATCAAACTGTGCTGAAAGGGACTCCATCTTGGTCCTGAATTACTCTGATTTCTGTAAGATAAATATTATTATTATTATTATTATTATTATTATTAATAATAATAATAAAAAAAAACAGATATACCTAGTCCCACCAGGTATTCACAGGGATGATAGAGCCTTCAGTAATGATGAGGTTGGAGGGTTAGCAGTATTTCTGTACTTTCATGTTTATTAAAGTACTGGTTAAAAAAAACTATCAGGTTGGCCTTTAGATTATATGCCTTCCATCATAAACCACAGAAAGCTGATACTAATACAAGAAAAAAATTCCAATTTGAAGGCCACTGCCTGCATCTTGATAACAATAATGCTTCCAATATTAACATTCTCCTATTGGGGGCAGACCCTCAGGTTAGGAAGGTTTATGATTCACATGGAGATATTTGTGGATTCTCGGAAGTGGCTGGAGTAACGGGGATTTTCTCTTAGAGGGATGAGGTCACTTCATTAACAATAACCAATACTTTCTTTACTATCACTTGTCTTGGAAAATAATAAGAGATTCACACATATTACAATGTGAATAATTGAAACAGAATATTAACACATTACCCGTGTTATGACAAAACCAAGACTCCCCTCTATCACGGAGGCCTTCACAATGCTCTAATGCTAGTCCCAGTAAAGCTATGAGGAAGAAAACTTGTATGTTTTATTATTCTTACTTTTCTACTCATTCATGTCCCTTGCTAATGTATGAAAGCCAAAACCATAGTCAATCTATGTATAAAAGGAAAAAATACATTAAATATATATATTTTTTTATACTCATCTTTGCGCCACCGGTGTACCAACTCCCAATAAGGTAATATCGTTAGTGGTACACATGTGGGCCAAGATGCGGGTAACGTGTTAATTGCAAGGTTGGATGGCTGTGTGAAACAAAGAAATTACCATCCTGATAATTGGTTTGTGAAGATTTACATTCTACTATCATGAATGATTAATTCCACCATAACAAACAGTTAACTTTATCAAGAGCGACACATAGAGATAGAGGGATATAGTCTTTGCCATCTTATAGAGTATAATAAGTAGAATAACAATTAACACAGTCACAGCTTCTGCAACTTCATTTACTGCAAAATGATGAAAATATCTGCTACCTATCACCGCTCAGAGACAAAATCCACAACACCCCCTAGTCTAGGGAATAAATAGAATTGAGGAGAGGTTAGGTTTAGATTTTGAGTTCACATGATACTTTGGATTTGGGACTTAGTTTCTGGAAGATGAGCCACTCTCAGTAACAAATACCTATCAAACTAAACAAACAATAAAAAAAAGGTTTTGTAACATTAATACCAAAGATCTCCATTCAAATTTTGCAGAAAGTACAGATTAAATAAACAAATATGTACAATAAAGGCATGAAGACTGTAGTAAGTACGCTAAAATTTGCTCTCATGTGATTGCACCTTTACTGGAGCACAAAGTGAAGAAGCCATTATACCAATTGATGAGGTAGTTTGGATAATTACCATAAAACTATGAATTCTTTATAACACACACACTCTTGCCTGAGAGACAGACTCCAAGTCCACGTCACAATTTTTTCAATAACTTAAGTTTCTGCAATTGGATGTGCCCTTCAGTTAATGCCCTTTAACTATGGTGTTGCCGTTCGTGTCCGCAGAATATTTTTCTCCTATAAAAAAATCATCAGCTTCAATGTGCCCCATGCCAACCTCACAAACCACAAGATCACAGAACCAAAAGCCCTTCTAACCCAGGGGGCTTTGCTGAACGACTAATAAATTCCCCTTTTTCTCCCAAGCCAGTGATTACTTTAAACCAAGAGTAAACAAACAAACAAAAAGGCGGGTTGTTCAGCCAATTAAGCCTTGTCCAAAAGAGCTAAGTATGTTTTCCGACGAACACGTTTACTTCAAAGTCATCCGCTCATGAAACTAAAATCACCGGGAACTTTATCGAAAATTCAAATATTAGGAATTGGCTTTACAAACTGCTTAAGAAAATTTGTCCTTCCTTTCTTTGTTGTATCATTTGCCTAAATCCTTTTAAACAAATAGTGGCGTGATTTCAAATCAATCTTCCCATTATTTCACGTTCTAGCGTTAAAAAAAAATCCGGTAAAAAATGTGTAAATAAACCGTATTATCAATAACAAATCTTTAAAGGCTCGAGCAGCTAGCCGTTTCAACTCGATGTTTTCATTCTATTAGTAACCGGTAGCATATTTAACAAAAATACAAAAATCACTCTACAACGAATTAACAGAGCACTCAGTCACATAAAGACACAACTAACAAGACGCACAAACCAGCTCTTGGTCGCTAGAAACGAAGAAAAGTCATCACTGCCTTCGAACTTCTCTCTCACTTTTCAAACTCCTGGATGATTCCC